ATGAATTTTTATAAATAAAAAAAATGTATGTATCTTACGTTTTTTATTGTAAAAAGGACCTTACGATTAGATTTCTCGATTCTTCCATAAAAAACTCCATTTGAGTTATTTTTATTTCATTTACTATAAATGCATCGGGGTTAGCAATTAGTGCAGACATGATGAAATTGGAGTGTTTCAATCGCGAAACAGCCTCAACTAGTTGCTGCAAAACAAAACTGTCCGTCCTACTCTTGTTTAATTATTCAATGAATTAATTAAAGGTATGTTTCGAATAGCGCGGTCAGTTATCGATTGAATTAACTCCAGGTAGGATTTTATTCTTGCTTTCCTAATAGTAAAGGTACTTTAACGGTTTGTACCAACCAATGATGAAATTTCATTCTCTAATGCATGATTCGTTTGTTTCCTTATCAATAATGAATTACATTCTTCACGCTATCTTTAAATTATTATCTACGTAATGCTGTTCAGTACAGCTAACGATTCAAACAAAACAAATTTAATATGGAATATTTAGTTTTAACTTCAATTACCCATTGATGTTAAGAAATTCCTTTGAAAGATCAGCGTTTGTACTAGAAATACTAGCTCTTACTTCTTAGGTCAATAAATTATTCAATCTTACAGAAATAATTGCCACCCTTATGCTATTATTTATCATTTTTTTTTCTGACAGCGATAGAAAAGTTTGCATCTGTTCTTCAATATTGTAGTGTAATGTGTACTTTTCATGTTTCCTTGTTCTTAAGAATTCTACTAATTTTTTATTCAACCTTATCACATTCAATAGTTAAATCTATACAAAGACAACTTTTCCCGTTATATTACCCATTGTGTAATACTTTACATATACATACGGAGTTATGTAGCAAATTTTTTTTTTACATAATATATATTAACTGATATTTAAATAATATTTGTCTCTATTCTCAGCTGTAGAAAAAAACCGATAAGATGTAATCCCATAATTTTGAATTAAATAAAATAGTTTAGTTGTTATGTAAAATGATCTTATAATTTGTACTCAGTGAATAGTTGACGACAAAAAGTCAATATATACAGATAGCAAGAAAAATCTGGTATTAGTATTCCATCTACTGTTTGTTAATAGGTTAAGCGCTTTAATTATCATGGTTAGGTCTTCCAACCCTGGGAATGCTTAATCCTTCCTAGCAAAAATACGTGGCTATCTCAGAAGCGGACAACACGCGGGTTCATTCGTACTCTTTAGCCCTCAGGTAGCATGGGTCGCTTAATTGCGTTAAAAGGTTATGAATGGCCGCAGAAAATACACGCCCACGCGTTGTTAAACACCGCCAATTAAGATATTTAGCGTTCTTCGAGGGGAAGCTAGTATCATCTATTCTAAATACGTCAACAGCTTTTGCGTATTTGCTCGTACGCTTTTATCCCAGTTTATTATCGTTAAGCTAAAAAGTTCATATTATAAAAGGCTTCCGAATTTCGAATTCGCTAACTTTATTTGTTAAATCCAGCTACTTTGCAAACTGTGCTTGTCACTGCTATATAGATCTTTGATATTTTGTAATAATTTGTTCATTAAAAGTAACAAAATTTTAGTGATAACTAAATTCATGAGTATCAATGTCATAATTGACTCATTAAAGGGTAGTAACATTGAAAATAAGTACTAGTAACGTTCAAGTATTGCTTATAGCACCACGTTTCTAAATCTATACTGCTACGTTCATACTATAGAATTAATTTTAATCCCTTGCCCTATGATTTATTTCTAAACTGTAATCGATCTTAACTACTTTGTTATTAATAACTTATTGGAAATAAGAGAAAACTCCAGTCTGAAACAAATTGAATAATATTTATGTTTGTTAAATTCTATTTGAAATCTTCACCACAAGTCTGACATAATATTGTACGGCAAGGAGTTAAAAAACGTCTCGTTTGTATATAAACAGTTTATTGTACCATTATGTAAGGATATGTAACATAACATGAACGTCATGATAAAACATAGAATTATAAACTATAAACGGTAGAACAACAATTAAGTATTTCGTGAAATATTCAACATATACTTGATTTATATACTGAACTAAAAAACTTTTACAACACATTTCCCAGATTTGTTATACATTATATAACGTATAACGTTATTATACGTACGTAATAATACAAATTTATTATAAAATAGATATGATATGTTAAAAGATTATAAAAATTAAATCTTATTATAATAATAATTAATAAAATATCTATAAAATATAGAATTCTACTGGTTTAAATTACTTTAAACGAAAAATAACTACAAGTTCACACCCAATAGCTGTGAAAATAAATCGAATGCAAAGGGTTCACTAAGTACCTGAGGACCAATGGAAGGACATCGAGACCAGGATATAAGGATGTTCAAGCGAGACTGTCATCTGGTAACACTCGTACGCGGACATGTTGTCCTGGCAATACTCTAATCAGTAGAGTTCCAGCAGGTATCGGCAGGCGGCACTGCCATCCCTCTTGTAAGGCGGACAAGTTCAAGTGGAACCCCTAAAGCTCTTCCTGAATCCTTTGGCAAGGGTTGTGATGGCAGACCCCTTGTGGTAGACGGTATCCGGACTAAGCCTGTTAGTGCAGCCGTAATTGCTGTCGGTTTAGCGAGGTACCTGTTTTGGTTTGCAACTGTCGTCCTTTTCTTTCTCTTTGCTAACTCCTTGCCCTATAATTTATTTCTCAACTGTAATTCAATTCAACTGTGTACACCTACTTTGTAATTAATAATTTATTGAGAAAAGACGAAAATTCTAGGCGTATTCTACGTATATGTTTGCTCTAAAGCATAACAATTGATAACAGAAGAATAATATTCAATTTGAATACACAAAAATTGAGTAACATTTATATTTGTTAAATTCTGTTTAACTGCGTTGTTCATCAGATTTCTGTGGAAGTTATATGTCTTTATTATTGATTTTTTGATGCTGTACTAAAAGCAATCAGGAGGCACGATTTATTATCATGTGTGTATATATGACCGTTTTAATGTTAATACACTACGAAGTCAAGATAGAGATAGATAAAAAGACAAGGTATCTAAAATTATATATTCGAAAGTACTCACTTATACTAAGTGCGGTCATCAAAAAATAGTTAAATGTTTAGTTAAAAATATTAAATATTTATTTTTAACTTATTAAAAAAATGTTGATGATCTTTAGCGTTAATTTGGTTAAAATTGCAAAGATTCGTCATAAAAGTCACAGGATGTGTAGTAAATTCTTGTGATATATGTTACATAATATAATGATTCTATCTCATCGAGTGTTTACATGACTCTCGTTTATTTATATCTTATCGTATACTGAAACTACTTTGTAGATTGGCTGTCCGAAAATTCTGATTTATAACAGTGCCTCTTTAGTAAACACTATGCGTGCCAGTTTGAACAGTATCCTGCCGAACATATTTCCCTCTAGCAGCTCATGTTAGAGTTAACATGGCGTCGCTAGAGGTAGGATATAAAACATATGTTGTTCAAGCTATTCGAACGTTTAGAACCGGACTGTCAACATATAAATCCTATATTATAGAACATAAATATTTGGTGCATAGCGCGGTTGAATTCGGTTTCAAAGAAATTTATTTCAGAAATGCTATACGAGTTGAAGAAAAATAAAGAGAAATAAAAGAATTTATTTATTTCAAATTAATTGATATGTCAATTAATTGTTAGTTTTCTAAGGATACCATAATGTGTGATAATTTTTTACACTTTTAATGGAATATTAAGCTTTAACTTGATTGGGCAATTTTGAACGTGAATAACAATATTAATTAGTTAATTTAAAGCTAAATCTATCTTTCATTTTTTATTACGAAATTATATCTTTGTATAATTTCAATTATAATTTAAATTTACCTGTAATGATGTCGTACGTAATTTTTTATACTACAAGCGGTATCTTTTATTAGTTTAAAGTGTGAACAATATATGCATGAAATAAATCAACAGTGGTATTGTTAATTTGATAATATTAAATTTTTTCTAAAGAAACTATTTTTTATTTTCTATTTGTTTCAAAATGCCAAGGTACTAGTGATTTTGTTATCAAACTGTGTTATTAATCACTTATATTAAACAGTATATATAATTCACTCGGGAAATTCTTAAATTGCACGAAAATTTTTGTTCTACAAAGAGAAACAGACATCACATATGTGGTTTAAATATTGCACTAACACATAGACTGGCTTCTGCAAAGAAAGTAATTTATGTTCCACTGTTTCATCTCCATTAAACGTGGAACGATGAAGCTAATAAAACCATTCAGATGAGAAAATAACATTTCTGTCCCGGTTTATCCGAAAAGTTGGTGTTCAAGTGAAAATATAAAGCCCGAGAGAAGAGAATTCGTTTCATAATTCGTAATGCGAACGCTGATGTTAGTAACACCTTTTTATTACATTAGTGAAATGTTTATTGATGTCTTGAAATTTATTAAGGTTCAGAAAAATATTAAATAGCATTTACCCATTTGCGTAAAGAGTGAACACTTTTATAAATATTTTTTTGGAATATAAATATTTCTATGCAAGGAAATCCAAGGAATAATTAAGATAAGCTGAAGTGTATCGGATCAAAATAAATATTCAGTCCACATTTGTTGTATTGTAAATTATAATTTTCATTTCTTGTTTCTTACTTGCAAAAGGAAGATTTAAAATTTCTTTTTCACGTTTTATTAATAATATTTCAGTATTTTTATTCCTATATTATCAAAGAAAAGATAATTTGATTCGCCTTGATCATTCATTTTCAAGGACATGGATTATGTAATACCTAAATTCTCGAATATATGTGTAATCTAAATTGTTCTATAATACTAAATTGTTACAGAACATGATTTTTAACTCTTAGAATGCACGAATGAATGCTTATAAATGTTCATCACTCTTGCACTGTTGGAGGCAGAAGTCAATGGATCAAAATCATGCAGTTAACAGCACGATTACACTGTTTCGCAACTGACAATCGATACACCTATTCAGCAGACACGTCGGGTAAACCCCTACCTATGACTCGTGACCTCTGACACCCTGAATACATTGTTTGAGATGTTGTTAGTCTTGTTCCCAGCTAGTCAGCAAAGAGTTGCGACGAGAGTAGGATCGATGTAAAGCCCCGCAGAGAGATACCCACCAGCGGGTAGGATAAACAGACCAACGTGACAGTAGATCGACGTAGAAACAGGTATATTGCTTTGTTTCCTTGAAGAACTAGATTCCAAGAGAAAGATTAACCACTTTGGCAGTGCTTATAATTTAGCATCTAAAACTAGGAAGAACTGATCCGTTGCAGAGCTGTTGCAGATATCAGAGTTGTTAATAATATTGATAATTTTCTTTTGGAAACTTCACTGTTGGAAAATTGAACCTAATAATTTATATTTTAATTAAACAAGTAGTGATTTATTGCATGCTCAGAAATATATCTACATACCGTGTTATAAATGGAGAATCGAAACATTTTTATCTTTGTATTTTGAATTTGTGAATTATGTTTAATATTGTTTAGTATTGTTAATAGTGAATTCCGATAAATGTCTATAAGAAATTACGAGTGTATACAAAAATGTAATATTGGTGTAAGAAAATAAGAAAAGAACGTGTTTTATATTTATTGATTTGTATTTATTTGTGCTTTGTTAGTTAAGTTCTAAGTGACGCGGAAATGGTAAGGTGATCACCTAACCCCTCGGCAATATGACAAAAACTTACATTGGACGTAAAGTTTTTAAGAGTTTCACTTGTACATTTGTCTAATTCATTCATTTTGATTTACCTCGTGGAACTCGTTATATTCAGTAAAGAAATTAGATTATCACCAATGAAAAATTAACAAAGAACATGAAATTTCCTTTTCACGCTCAAACATCTCATATAGTTAGCTGTAACAATTCACAGTATAATTTAAAACAGTGTCTAACAGTATATCCATCGATCGCACAGAAGCGTTACCGCCGTTAGCAAATTATAATAGTGTCCACTAAAACTTAACTTGTTCACAATTAATTTAAATAAATGATATGGCACTTCACAATAATCGCAATGCACTGATGCGCCTAACAGACTATCGGTAGCTACCATGCAGCAGCGGCTATTCCCTAGTCAGTATGCAATTGAAGGCACGCATACATGTATGTTCACGGCTACGACTGTGGTATTATGCATACGATGTAATTTTGCCTCTCTTACGAGATAATCCCCTCTCTCAGCTGCCACTTGTTCTTGTCGCTGCTTCCGGCTTTGTACTGCGGCAATTGGGATTTCCCCGACACAGGTGAGCTGCTTGTGCGTGATCTAAATGGTAATGATTGGAACATTGTCCGGTTGAAATACCTACTTAAATATGAAAAGTTAATAGCCTTTGATTGAAAACGCATCAATCTATTATTCGATTTGGGAAATTCGTCGTCAACCTTGGTAACAATGCGACTCATTACGCCACACTGAATACGCATCGCTGCAGTAAGCTTATCCTGAACGTTCGCCACTGATTAAATGAATCGATATTAATTCGACCTAAAAATTGATAAAAAAATTGTTCGACCTGGTGTCGGTGCAGAGCCAGCGGCGGAATATTACGAAAGAAATTTCATAATGAATCCTCGCGTCGACTATTCAGCGGTAGACTTGTATGGCCGGTGGGTATTAAATTGAGCGTAAATGTGGAGATATCGAATCCGAAATTGAGAATTGCGAGCGTATCGGATGAAAGGACATCATATTAATCATCGCAGCAGGGACTAATGCTTCTGCGCATGTTGAAAAATGAGGTCTCGGCTATGTGCGTTCATTATATGCCGAAGCGATCAGATTTAATGGTTAATATGGATAAATTGCGAATGACATCTGTTTATCGGACAAATGCAGCATATGAACGGAACGTTTACCGAATATTCATATGAATTCGCGTTTATCGGACGGTAGATATGAAATAAACGTCCTCCGAAGACAGATTGTAAATGACACGATTTTCGGGAATGCGAGAACCTGCTGGCGATACATAGGTTATTTTAAAATCGTATTTACTTTCCGTCACAGTATTTATTTTTTTATTCGCGTGTGCGATTGACTGGGGCTAAAATATATGCATACTTGTAAAAAAAGATTTATATAAATGTTACGATAAACAAGGACGTGTGCAATATTCTCTATTAAAATCTGGTTGATAATGAAGTATTGCAATAATGGAAGTGCAATATGGCGTAGTTTTCGGCAAACTAGAAATTTTGATACATATTAGGTGTATAAATTGCTTTTAGAAGGAATTTTGAATATTTACAAGTACTTTTGTTGTGTACGGATCTGTGTTGATTCTGTATTACGTTAGCAAGTATGTATATGTTATCAACAGTCACCTTAAACATAACTAATCTTTAATATTCAATAGTTACATTAATTATTCTACAAAGAAATGTGATATACAAGCACAAATGGTAGTTTTATAAAATTTTCATAATAAGAAAATACACGAATACATTTGGATTTGAAATAATTGTTAGAAATGGTTAAATTTAAAGGTAAGTCGTTAGTTTATAGCATCCATTGATTTTTACTTAAACTAATAGAAATACGATGATTATGTGTTTAGTTTAGAAAAAAGTTTATACTTGATTTTACTAAAAGTGTAACATTATAAATATAATTTTATTATAAACATAAAATTATTGATCCTGTTTTATATAGTTTATATCCATGAATATAAGAGTATCGTTTATTTTTAGCAGACTTTAGTACTCGCACAGTACGCCGAGAAAACACTAGAACCTAATGCAAGGTTTGTTGCTGACGGCCCCACGTGTAAGAGTATAGCATTGTTCCCCCAATAGTAATTCGATGCACCAAGTGGTCGCATTTCGGATAGCCTGTTCAAGTCCATGCACACCCTAGCCTACACCTTGTTAGGAAGAAAACGCCATTAAATTGGCAGCAAAGAAGTGGTTGCATCAGGGATCGCGTTTCACTGACCAGTTCCTGAAATGTCTATCTCCTGGAAACCCGAGTAGTGAGATTAAAGGAAAATTTGAGAGCTCCTCTCAGACTTCTTAAACCCTTCTATTTTCCTCCTTGTTTTGGTAGGTCATTAGCGTTACTGGTATAGTTGAAGTTGTTAAACGAAGTAAACGATGTGATATCTACCTCTCGGAAATGGCCTATTAAAGATGTAATAACCGCAACTTATACCTCCATTGAAATTTACTTATTCCATTTTTTCATCCATTCCCTATTCCATTGAGGACTATCAAACTAAAAAGATCGTTGTACATTCATCATTAGAGAAGAATAATCGAAGGAAATGTTTTTTAACACACTGTTGATCAGTAATTTTACACAAAAGCTATCCCATGTCATCGGTTATTATTCCGCAATTAAATATGAAAGTGAAACAATCTAAACAAACTTCAATATACTTTACTTTTACATAATGAATTGAATTGAAACTTTGAACACATGTTTTGTATAACTTTGAACATTTTACTTCGCAACACACTACATTGCCTGCATTTCAAAAATTGAGATAGCTAATACAAGTGCAAACACGGGTTAATTCATGACCAGTAAACAACGTTTGGACATGAAAACACGAGTTAACTCGTGACTGGTCAATAGTGCGTTAAAAATTAATCTTTTCGGAAGTAATTTTTCTTTTTAAACGCAAGAATAGTAACATCAGAGGCAAGGATTAAGAATTTTATTACTATTTGATACTGAAACTATTGAAGTTGGAATTTTATAAAATGAGAATACATGGTTTACATTTTACTATGTAGAGGTTCACTCTAATGTACCAATTCGAACAGTGATTTAGACTAGGAAATTCCCAGTTCTAGAGTAGCTACCAAACATAGCGAAGCTACCAAACACAGCACAGCTATCAAACATACCTTAACTACATAACAAACAAAATTTTCATAACGTTTAGAACTCGCGACATCTCGCATATCTTTTAAATTTCGAGCATAACACGAATAGAAGGCAATAATTAATATATGTCGGAGCACATAGCGAACTCTATTGCGAGCTCGCACGATACCTGAACGAAAAGCCTTGATTACAGGAACTCGCTTTAACTTCTATCCAACTAATTAGTCGATCCATAACTTTGCATCTATTACGGAGTAATTGGCAGACTAATCATGACCCTCTCACTCTTCTCGCAGCTTCACCGCTACATGAATACGATGAAATTTTTATTGACGCATCGCGGTAAATTGTTAACTGGTGCTCCCAACACTCATTTCCCGTTTCGTTTGTCGGCTAGGGATGATTCTAAAAATGAAGAAAGAAAATATCGAATTGAAGTTAAAATTTTGCATAACCCAGAATAATTCGACAAGCGTAAGATATTTCTAACGTTCAATGTGGTTAATAGCGTTGGTACAAAAGACGCTTGAATTTCTTAAGAATATAATTGGAAAAACAATATTATGACAGAGAATGATTTTACCTGAAAATTATTACAAAATCCACTATATTTTGAATAGTTTATGCATTTTTCCATATACTTCAGAAAATGTTAGAAAAGATTTTGCTTTAAAGGGTTCATTAATTCTATCCACAACGCTAATGAGAATTAAAAACACAAACACTCTCAGTCTGCTTTGCGACAATCTCGCCTTAAGGTATTCCATTCTTTCTCTCTCTAGAACAAGTGAACCAGCTTATACACCAGGTGACATATTTAACTAAAAGTTGCAAACAATTGTATGCGTTACTAAAGTTGAAAACATATTCAGATTTATACTTCTTCCTTCATATTCGCGAAATACATTTTTCTGTATATATTGAGATTTGATGAAAGAAATATTGGCAACATTCAAATACGTGAATCGGTATATATTCTGCAAAGATAGATACAATAACTTCAAGTACATACTTTATACGAATTTGCAAATTCCCTAGTTACAAACATCAAAACAAGCAGACACAAGCTTTATGGCTACAGCTTTACATTAGATTGTCCCGAACGTTTCTTTCATTTGATTTCAATGTTTTATATTTTATATTATATTATTGAATTATATACAATTGATTCTGATCCATTAATTTCGTTCCAAAATTTCTACCAAATATTACAGGCAGAGTTTGAAATTCCAGCAAATGTAAAATCTGCTGACGAAGAGCTTGATTCATTAGTAATGCGTATGCAATCATTCATCATTGGGGCTGATTTTAACGCTGAACCCTCTCTTTAAAACAACAAATAACTCAGGAAAATTAATTTACACACGTATGACTAACATTCCTTACTATATCTCCTATAGCAACATATTTTCACATGAAACACCCAGAGCCTCGCATACTAATATTGACTTCTTCTTGCCCATCTCTACCTTCAATCTAACATGTAACACTATCAATGAGCTCTCGTCCAACCATCCTATGCAAACTTTCTTCTCATCCTGTGCAATTAAACTCTAATCAAACTAATTAAACTCCGCAACACATTCAGCCGAGTATATAAAAAGACGAACTTCTCCTTTATAAGAAGTTATGCAATCTCTTCACCGAATAAATAAAAAAATGAAAAGTCGGAACTTGTAGCAAAACATAGTGCCATCAAACATTATGAACTTTAAATATCGGCCCGAACGTTATCTGGAAATTTACAAGGCTTTAAAAACAAACATACAAAATTCTTCCATTTATTCTCTAGCAATCATTTCCATCATCGTTGTTCGAAAGAAGAAAGCTTATATATTTTATCAGTCGCAATAGCTGTTTGTCCTATTAAATAAATATGTAAGTTATACGTATTTCGTATTGATAATTTATACATAATTGGAAAAATGTGAACAGTTTCATATTCTTCAGTACAATTCAGTTATATTTATTTAACAGATTAATTGCTGTGTGAATTTCATACGTTTCGCGTGAGTGTTATTCATTTGATTTTTAGCAAAAATCTGTAAATGTCATTATTAACAATTACATATTACATAATTGTGTACATTTTACTTTGTATTGTTAACTACATAATAACGATTATTCATTATTTAATAACGTACTGTTTAATTTATTCTATTACTTAGGCACTTAAGTTACTGAGGAGGCAACGGAGGTGTTCCAAAGAGTTCCCCAAAGCGCCTGAGGATGGCCACTGTGGGGGTTTTAGTCGGTAAGAATGTGGCATTACCTTCAACTCTCCCCTCCCTACTGGCTATCCCTTCTGTAGACAATTTCTCTCCCAATAGAATCGTTTCACTATTTACTTTTATTATTGAATAATAAAATTGTAAAATTTTAACTAATAAATTGTAATTAGAGTGCTATTAATATAGACACGAATTAAACCAATTCCATTCAACACAATACTATATTTATATTTATTACAAGGTTATACTTCAATAATTTGCAATATAAGAATATAGTAGTCAATGGATAACAATCTACTGTATTTTTTAATTTGTAGTGCTTCTCTGTTTACATTATTTTGTTTCTGTAAGAACCGTAGTTTGAGATCTAATTGTCAACGTGTAACTGAAGATGTAACAATAAAGTTAGCTGCACAGTTAAATTTCAGAAATAATCCTGCACCTCTCATACTTTCTTGGCAACTGGAAACATGCCAACGTCCTCTGCTTTCTAAAAATCCAACAAAAATCCTGGTAGTATGACAAACTACAGGCATATGATGCTCTCCAGCTTCTTAATCGTGGAAAAGATTGTATTAATCCTTACAGAGAAAACAGCCGAACAGAATCTTTTAGATTACCATTTATCTGTTATTAGATTTTTAATTCTATAAAATACTACTTATATTCTGTAAGACACTACTCAAGTAACTTTGTATCAATCACAACACAGTTGAAACAGTGTATTTAATGAAACGGAAAATGAAAAATGAGGACTCATTACGGTGACTATTTTTTTAACTTTTTAAACAGTGTTGTTTAAGTGTTTGTTAATTCAAAAAACAGTGTTGAGTTAATTCAAATTTTCCGATACACTGTATAATGGAGAAAGGAAGAGCAATGAAAAAAAGTTCGGAAGCATGATTAATTTTCCGATGAAATGAAAATCGTAAAATAACATATAAAAATTTTAAACTTATGAAATTATGAAAAAGATGTTGAAAGTTATGTATAATAATTGTGTTTAATTTATATCATTAAAAGACAAAAACACAGAGTTTTATGTTTTTCTGTTTGAATTTTAATTGTTCTTTTAATATCAATGCGTATATGAACAGGAAAGTTTCGTTATATCATTCTTAATAAATAAGATCTGTGTAATGGATCACTGAAAACTGAATTACAATTAGTTTCAAATAATAAAATTTTTTAAGGATGTTGCGCTAATGCCTCGAAATTACAGTTTCAATTATTTTGATATAGTATTGTATACCGAATAATGGAAGCTAGTAATTTTTAAAAATAAATTGTATGTAATTTACCAAAAAAGGAAATATAGTGAATCGATTAAACAGATTAATTTATATCTTTTAATGTCAATTTTTATCTATCATAGATAGATACTATGCTCAACAGTATAATATCTAATTCTCCTTTGAAAGAAACAAATAAATAGAATCGTGGGTATATGAATTACGAAATCGTTCATAAATCGAAATTGTTGAAATTGCTCTACACATTGTAACAAGAGTGTTAGAAAACCACAATGCCACAAAGGAAGCAAAGGAAAATCGCGCAATAGCTTCGGACCGAATTTTAAAAATGTTATCTCTTCATTCGGGAATTGTTCGTGAAACTTTTACCGCGATAGAGTTTAGCCATCGCAAAGGCAATATCTTCCGCTAGCCAAACCGCTTTCATTTTGATTTCGATCGGTGTTGCTTTTTCGGAGTGCACAACACTCGTCACGGTATTTCTCGAATACCCCGCGCGACTTGACACTCGCAGATTAATCAGCTTTACGTTAATTCGGTACCAGAGGGAAGCGCAACAAGACGCGCGCATTGTATATTCAGGAGTGCATTTCTCTCCAACCTACAATTCAATTTACATTGAATTTGATTATGTAAATCTTTGCGAAGAAGTTTTGTTTTACTTTCTGTCATTCCTTTATTTGTATAGTGTATTATACTTACTGTCTATAATAACGGTGTCCAGAAAAGTTTTAACAATAGCCATTATCATGTTTTGTTTTCTATGTTCCCGTGAATTTATAGAATGTGTCATTTTTATTTAGACTTGTATGTATGAAAGGCGATATGACGTATTAACATCTAATACTATAGAAATTCAATAGAAAAACAAATAAAACATTTAGTTTCAAGAACTGTAGTTAAAGTTTCTTATAACTTATAACAAAATAATTTATGGATCTTTTTGTGAATATGAATGGTTATTAATTTTAAGTAGCATAGGTGTTTGTTTCAGATTGTTTGCTTTTACTGTATCTCTTGAATCTAATTCTACATAAATTTGATTGTTTAATACAGATTTTAAACATTTTTAGTACGTGGAAATCTTGAGATTATTACTATTCGAAATTTTGTAGATATGAATTTACATTAGACATCAGAAGGGGTTATTGTTCATATCTCCTGCGTAACATACAAGTTGCAGAGTTTAAACAAAATTAATATCGACAGAACATTCTTTATGTTATTTGTCTGCGGTGATTAAAATGTGACACTCTGTACATATCGAGAAATTCAAATTACTGCGATAATTATTCAAAGTTACGAGCATTTGAAAGTCTTCCAAGTTATAAAAGTCCTGGAGGTCTCGAAAACCGTGGAAGATTTGAAAGTTTCGAAAATCTTGGAACTTTCTTAGAAGTCCGGAAACTTATCTATACCGGGTGTCCCAAGTTTACGTTGAAATACTTTAAAGACTGCTAAGGAGTTCATGTGGAAGAAACTCTTTTTACGACATTATATCTCATTTATGTCAGTTTGGCAGCAATCGAATTTCAATTTTTTTTAATGTTTCACCCTGTTTACATTGCCGCCCTTCAGATTTTGGAATTTTATAAGTTCACAATCGTATCAGTCATTTATAAAATAAAAAATTTTAATAATTTTGATTGCATATTCTATAATTTGATTATTATACAACTTTTCATATTATAAATATTTATTGAAATTAAATTTATATCTCGTATCGTCTAATTCGATTTATTCCAGTTAAATATAATTATTTCACCATTAAATTATTATTCTGTACTCTGGCATGTTTCATAAAATCATTCATAAATCTTTCACCAATATCTAACGCATAATGAAGAGGTGGCACTTCAATATAAATAATTAATACAACAATATGCATACATTCAATTTTAATCTCTGTATTTAAAGGTAAAGTGCAGTCTTCAAAATTTTATGCAAATTTACATTTTTGTAGTCAACAACCGCATGATTGGAATAACATAGTATTTGCCTTATTTCCTATGTTAATAGTTTCAATATATTAAGCATAATATAAGGAGGAATACAATTTTATGAAATTTTCTGTTTTCTTTGGTTTTATAAACGAAGTCTGGAATCTGTTTATTAATTAAAATCAAAAAATAGGTTAAAAAATATATTTTTAAATACATCTTATTATCTCTAACGTGCATAATTACTAGCTTAAACCAATTATCAAGAGACAATGAGATCAGATCACGAATGTTAAAATGTTTCCATTTTTCCTTCAACATGCTTAGTTAGTTTGAAAGATCCGCAGGTGGGACAAGACCAATTTCAATACTTCAAAAACTTTCAAACTCCGAATAATTATTACAGTGATTCAAAGTTCTGCTGTGATTGAATTTCTGGAAACTTGCGGGGCCAAGATTTTAGTGCCCATTAATACTGATCGTCGCACGATGATTAAATAATACCCAATCTGGTTAGTGGAATGCGATCAGAATTATTCGCAGCGACCTAAATATAAATCTAAATCTAACTGAAAGTAATATTAGACAAGCCTGATTTAGAAATTCTCAATTTATTGAAATTAATAAATTGATTCCAACAGTTTCAAACTAAAATAAATGCCAAGCTAAAATAAAATTCTTTGAAAATTGAAATTCTTAATTTAATTTTAATTCAGTTATAATTTGTATAATTACAACAATAGTAAAACTGTTTCACACAAAATAAAAATATCGAACTTCTTCATTCGAACGTGAAACTCCTAATTTTAAATGATTTAAAAATTGAAATTTTTCAAGCTAGAATAGAATTGCTTAAAAGTTGAAATTCCTAATTTAATTTGAATTCAATTCTAATTTGTATAATGACAACAATATTAAAATTGTTTTGCACAAAATAAAATTTTGAAACATCGAAATTCTTCGTTCAAACGTGACACTCCTAATTCTAAATGATTTAAAAACATTTGTTAGACGTATTGCTACATAATTTGGACAGTGAGCGTTCGTTGACGTTCCATTTTGCAATCTTCGACAAGCCTACCCGCCGAGAAGTCGGCTTAGCCTCCGCATCTATATGAATATTGCGCGCGGAGGGTGGGCTACTCGAAAAAGGAAGCAGCACATGTGGGTAGATTGTGTAGTTCGCTGTGAGGAGTTTTCATAACCGATCGATTTCTCTGCAGGGGCGAAAGAAACGCTGGCTGCGTAACGGGTAGCCCCGTAGATTCGCTTTGTTTATCTTCTCTCTGTCTGTTACTTATCACCCATTTCCCCTTCTCGTATTTTCAGTGTCCATCCTACCGTGAAGAAGTGATACCAACCGAACGCGATCGAAAAAGGGTGCCTGGCCAGATAGAAAGGACCTGCCGCTGGAGGTTCACCAAAAACATTCTTTTTTTTCTCCCCTAGTTAGTCCCTCGAATGCTTTCCCTGTTACGCCATTGCTTCCGTACGCGGAACAGATCTTTCCATTCGAATAGAACCACCATACATGCGCGCAGATGCATGTCATCTGAGAAGTTCAAATTCTAATATTTTTAGAATTTTCTCAACTTCATAGACCTTCGATTTTTCACTTCACGAACAGTTTTTCTTCAGTTTCGTCGTATATTATGCCCGCGACCGAATAGGTCATATAGAATGCTAGACGTGTTCCGCCCCGTGACTTCTGGCGGCAGTTCGCTGCTCTCGATGCTGATAGAAACTCTGCCAGTCTTCTCGGTCCTTGTATTTGTCCACGGTGTTATTAGGTATCTTTGTTTCTGTTCTTTTGTTTTGAATGAAAATTAA